CTGATTATTACATTATTCACATCATATTAGTATACAACACTGAAAAAGTAGGACTTGCCGCGTCACCTCATTACATTACAAAAGCATCGTTTGATTAAAAGTATCATTACATTTTTTTAAGAGAAAACTAATGAAAAGACTTTAAAAATTTTGAGTTTTAATGATAAGGACGAAATAAAGGGTAGAGTGAATAGTATGAGGATTGACTTTTTAGTGTAAAATTATGATTTTTCGTTAAAGTGAGAGATTTTCGTTAAAGTTCCATTTTCTTAAAGGTATCATAAACTAAACTTTTTCTGTAACAATTATTTTTCTCTTGGCTGTAGCTAGGCATCCTGTAATTTTTCTTTTAAATTGTCTATAATAGATTTGCTGCTGTTCTATCCTCATATTCTAATCCCATGCACGTTATTTCTGGTTTGACCAACCATAAACAAAATGAGAAATTGAGAATGGAAAATATAACAGTTCGTGCGCATTAGATTTCTATCTATTTGATAAATGACCAAAATTAAAAAAGAAAACTAATGAAAAAGGCTTGAAAACATTAAATTTTAATCAAAAGGATAAAAATGTGTTGTAAGTGAATAGTACCATAAGTGATTTTTTAGAGTAAAAATGTCATTTTTCGTTAAAGTGAACAGTATCAGAAATGTTTCGTTAAAACTTCCAAATTAAGAATCGTTAGGGGCCATTAGACACACAGAAACTATTGCTTGATCATACAACAATTAAGATATGTTGTCTCAACCGACTTTCAACAGACCATTCTCTCTGGCAAAAGAGATTACAATTTTTGAAAAATCTAATTTAAAAAAAAAACACAAAAATTACTACTATTATAAAACTACACATCAAATTTCTAATCTGAGTGAAAAAGGATTTGCCATAATATATAGGAGAACATGTTCCAAAATGGTTCATAATTAATCTTTGATTAATTCGTAGTGGTGTCCCGGCTTCAACTGAGAGCCTTATATACACTACCCCACAAGTCATTTCGTGCACACAGCCATCTACTCAGCCATGTTTTCTATAAAGTGCTCATTTTTTTGGTCTTTTAAAAGCTCTTCAGTGTGGGGACTTTGATGAGTACCGAAGTTGCTCATTGAGGCCTATCGAGCTCATAGCTTTTATCTAATTCCTTTTCTCCTCTCTTATTTGTTTCCATAATTGCAATGTAATTGTAATAAAACTAACACACTTTTTTCATATTACATTACATTAGAAGGTTTCAAATTCTCGACCTAGCCTAGTCATACTTATTACCCTATCCACTTTCACCACTAAACTAACCTCAATGGCTTAAACTCACACACTTGCATAATGCCAGCCAACAAACTCGAATTTGCAGTAAATCTCCAATTGTAACATGTCATAGCTCAATCCTCATCAAGATATTGTAACCTTTAAGTCATATTGGCACGGTTTTGTTGGCTTTCAGATTCACAATCAAAGATGTCATCTAAACATATAAAGCACAACACTATTACCACAATCTACCTCGAAGGGGGCCTGAAGTTCCTGTCAGCACACTTCAGGTCAAGTCTAGCTATAACTTCCATCTTAATCCAACTTTATGAATAAAACATTTCCGAAATTTAAAGGTGACAAAAAACATGAAACTAATAATCAATATATTTTTTTTTTTGGAATACTAATTATGGAGAGCAAAGTACAATCATTCTGGAAAATGATGGTTGATAATTTAGGAAATACATGGCAAACAAATAATCATGGAATGTGGTCCAAAGCTGGATGTGGGCTTGATCAGTAACAGGTCTTACTATCCTTGCATTCTAAATAACTGAGATGAATCTGGTTCTAGGGTTTCTGGGAACTTTTTAGGTGCACGTCTGGCCAAAATAGAAAGTGAGAAACGTATTTTTGCAGTACTAGTAGTTCTGATAAAAGAGAAGGAAAAGAAGCTACATGTTTAAAAGTCTATTTTTCTTCTCTCACTTTTAGGTCCACCACATAAGAATCAAAGCTAGCATGCTTTGGCTTGGGGCTCTTTGTAGTTTGTATGTTAATTAAGGTCAATTGATGTTTGGCTGTCTCCTATGTAAGGGTCCATTGTTAGACCAGCCGAAGTGACACCATACAAATCCACATTATTGGATTATTGAATGATAAAGCTAGCTCAAGATCGATATATGTGTGCTTTTATCAGAATAAAGGGAGAGATTTGGTATGCTTTTTACACTAGGATAAAATAATTCACCAGGATTTGTTCATAGCTCTCACAAGGACAAAAGTTTTGCCAGCTAGCTGAACCATTTTTGCATCCTTTACTCTACACTTAACTTTGTCTTCTAATCACAAGGCAGGGCATGTCTCAATGTGTACTTCATACAAAAAAAATCACACTACATTTATGTATACGCCGTATTTATTATTTAATTATGATGAAAGTTGGTGATACATATCATTTGTTTATTTTTTCATATATTATTATTAGTTGAGGGAACATTAGGAAACCCCAATCTCTAACATGTTAATAAGAGATCTACATTGCATGAACTTACAAATGAATTGCAAACTTCCTAGTTTTCCAATGTGGGACACTTTTCACATCTTTACACATCCTCTTCTAAAACCATGAAACAAGTTGAGATTTCTTGCAAAGCAAATAATAAAGCGAGTTGCATGCACGTGAGCTAGTTACTAATGAACGGAAATGGATATTTATATGATGAGGTAACTTTGTCCAAAGTTATAATATAGGATTTCTTTTTGGCCTTTTTGCTTCTCAAAGATTTAAATATTGGTGGTGGATTTAGTAGAGAGGAAGAGTCCAAGATTTCTCAGGGTGACGAGGACGGGAAATGAGACAAAGCTGCAAGTATACAATGAGAAATCTCGAGAGGTTGTTCAAAGTTTCAAGGACCCGTCATTTTCTGCTGATATGTTTTTTGGGTTTGCCAGCTCGAACCAGGGAGTACTGGTCCCTGCTTATTTGTGTTTCTTCTACTATTTCTCTAATTATATATCTACTTCTTCTCTCGCAACCAACAATGTCCATCAATGGTTTGCTCTCACATCCAAATTCCAACCCCAAATTATGCAGTCATTTTCCGATCAAGTAAATTAAAAGAACTGGAGCAATTAATTCAGGTGAACTGTTAATTTAGATGCTGGCCCTCCACAGTGGAGGGTAGTCAAGCCTCAACCTTCTTTATTTTGTTTGTATGTTAAAATTTTGAAGATCTTTTTGAGTTTTGGGTGTAGTGATGACATTGTCGGGTGCATATGCTCCCGAGACAAAACTAGTTGTATGTCATAAATAACTTTCTAATCCAACATCTTGGCAGGCTTGTTGATTACGTCTAGAGTAGAATTGGGCCACAAAGTTAGCTTGGTTGTGTTGAAGGATTACCTTCAGCTTTGTGCAAGGAATTAAACACCAAATCAAAGATTGGAGGGAACATGTTGATACTAAGATAAACAATTGTATAGTAGTAGCACAGATTTTAGAGATGTAAGTTTTAATTGAAAGATATGAGTTGAACATCAAAGTTGAATATCAGAGTGCCCATACCACAATGAACGAACAAACGGATTACAAAACTAGAAATATTATTGATATCAAACACTACAAAATCGCCGAGACGGCTACATAAACTCCAAGAGGCTACATTGTGAATAACTTATATCTCAAACTAAATTACAAGCAATATTTATAGAGAACTAAACCTAAGAAACCCTAACTAGGATGGGCTAGGCCCAAATCATAAACTAACAAAGAAAACCCAAATACTAAAATAAACATAAATATTAATATTTTCCAACATCCCCTTGGTCAAACTCATGGTGGTACATGACATGGGTTTGCCAAAGTAGATGTGAATGCAAGACTCCAAATTTCAGTGCCAATGTCAATGCCAATACCATTGCCAATACCAATGCTAATGCCAATGGCAATGCTGATGTTGATGCCAATGCCAATGCAAATTCCAACTTCCGAACAAAAAAAAAAATTCCAATTTACTCTGTCCACAATGTCATTCGAATAGTTACCAATCCAAATACTCGAACGATCGTCACGGTGGGCAACAACATGTTTCCCAATACAAGCCAAACAAACCATATTTCTTTCTTGCCCGTGTAGACCTAAAACCTCCAACTTTTTTCCTTTGCCCGTATGGGCCTTAAACAAGCAACCAATTTTGTATTTTAACATTTTCTTGTTTCTTCCTCTTTTTGTTTTTTTAGCTTTTCGACAGACCATTTTTTTCCTTGTGAACAATCAATACCAACTAACAATCTAAAACGAATGACGAGCAAGACAGACAAATTGATACCAATGATAACAGATTAAATCCCAAAGGATCAAACCTGCTCTGATACTAACTTGAATATCAGAGTGCGCATACCACAATGAACGAACAAATAGATTACAAAACTAGAAATATTATTGATATCAAACACTACAAAATCGCCGAGACGGCTACATAAACTCCAAGAGGCTACATTGTGAATGACATATATCTCAAACTAAATTACAAACAATATTTATAGAGAACTAAACCTAAGAAACCCTAATTAGGATGGGCTAGGCCCAAATCCTAAACTAACAGGGAAAACCCAAATACTAAAATAAACATAAATATTAATATTTTCCAACAATATGTAGGCTGCTAAGCTAGTATCAGCAAATGAATTGAGATGATTTATATGTTGGAAGCATATTAGGAGATATACCATAGCATAGTAGTACTCTTGTGCAAGAACTGAACAAGAAGAACATACTCATGAAACTATTCTGTAGTTGTACACTCAATTAAAACAAACATATGAGACTCGAGGATTAGCCTATATTTACAATGTTTCGTCTCATATGCGAAGTGCATTGGTTTCTCCAATTTAAAAAATTTACAAATCCGAATACATAGTTAATTACACGCAAACGCCTAAGTAATCTCGTCTAAGCACTTGCATGGCTTATTAGGTCTATAAATTGAAGTTATGGTTTAGTCGATATATCAGATCCTCAAGTCTATTCTTAGCAGCAAATAGTGAAAAATGAAGCTTTCATTGCTTTCATGTTTGTTGCTTCTCTCTTGCTACCAGTTGGCCTTTCTCATATTATCATGCAATGCGACCATTTACCAAATGAAGAACCTCAACAAATTGATCAAGTCTCGCAAATCTGGAAATCCTCTTCATTCTAAATCATGGGATCGCTTAGATGTCGCACCAGACCACTATTCTCCGGTGTATGTCGGATCACAAGAAGGGTTGATGGAAGCTGATAAGATTGATGCCTTGCCAGGACAGCCTGAAGGAGTAAATTTTAATCACTATGCAGGCTATGTTACTGTGGACCCTAAAGCTGGGAGGGAATCGTTCTACTATTTTGTAGAGTCACCCCAAAATTCTTCAACCAATCCTCTGGTGGTGTCATTACACGGAGGTAAATGTTACTAAAATTTTTAACTAGTCCCACGTCGAAAACATGACTAAATAACATATAACTTATATTGAATGGTTTCACTTCTAATTGTACTCAAGCTTTTTATGATAAAACTCAACACTTTTGTATATTGGATTACACATGTATTTAAGTTGAGGGCAGTGTTAGTGCGGTTAGTATAGTGGACTTCTAGCTGGTCAGTCTTTGTTGGTATTTCAAAGTTTACTAACTCAATACCAAAAATATGTGGGTGATAAGTTTTCTAACTTTATCACATCTCTCACTATCACTCTCAATAAAATTGGACAAACGAAAGGAAAGAAGTAGCAAATTTGTTGATAACAACACACTTTGAAATATTAGAAGAGTTTATAACTATTAAAAGGTTACAAGCTGAAAAATGAGAATGGGAATTACAAAGAGCCTTACAGGAAGGCTTTCTTATACTTGCAAAAACAAAAGGAACCATACAAGTGCTTTTAATAAACAAATACAACATGTCCGCTTTCCTAAAAGCAGTTCAGCTATCACATGTCAGCACACTGCTGTCTTGTAATCACCTTTCGGTTGACAGATAGAGGGAGCAATGATGTTTGTAGTTGTAGGTGAACGACCTAAAAAAACAACATGCTAGCTAAAAAGTGTTCCACCACTTTTTGCCACTGTATTTGATTTGAACTTCCAACAGTCTTCACAATTACTCCTCTATCTCTGAAACAAGTAATTTCAAATGTAAATAGGGTAAATTAATATTGTTGTCTCCGTCACAGGACCTGGAGGATGCTCACCTTTTGGATATGGAGCCTTGGAAGAACTAGGACCATTCAGAGTTAGCAGTGACAACAAGACACTAATCTCTAATGACTATGCTTGGAACAACGGTATTACATACATGTAGCACCTTAATTATATCTTCTTTCTTAATTAACTAATGTAAAATAGCGTCTTAAGTCGATATGTAGATTTGATTATAAGAGGAACAAATGAATGGCTTGCAGTGGCAAACGTGCTCTTCTTGGAGACTCCATTAGGGACTGGGTTCTCATATTCAAACACATCGTCTGACTATGAAACTGTGGGTGATCAGAGCACAGCTGAGGACAACTACGTTTTTCTTGTAAACTGGCTGGAGAGATTTCCCCAATATAAAACCAGGGATTTGTTCATCACTGGAGAGAGTTCTGCAGGCCATTACGCACCTCAACTTGCTTACACCATTCTCTCTAACAACAATGTCACCAATCAAACAAAAATCAATCTCAAAGGAATTGCAGTGAGTACTCGATTAATTTGGATTTATTTGCGTCCTAATGCTAAACCATGACATTTTTTTTATCACAAAAATGCTTATGTTATTCTACTCTTATAGTATTATAGTAATACAGTGTAAGAAGTTGAGGTTTTATCATAAAACTAATTGGTAGTTAATATAGGTAGTAGTCTAATTCTTTATATGCACCTGCAATGTTGGTATACTTCCAAACTGGGACATTTCTTCACCTCCTCACACATTCTTACGTGTGCTGAATATTCAAGTCTAACAAAAAGACAACACAGATTGGTGGGTGACATGGAGTACGTGTGTGCACTGTGCTTTACAGGTGGAGCAGTATTGTTGAGGCCAATGGCCTATGTGTTGTTCATGTGTCTGACTTAAGTAACACCACACGTAAATGATGTTTGAGAGTAGAAATTCCATGCTAGGATATTAAGGACCTTGCATTGCATGTATTTACAAAAAGTTAAACTACTCTCCATATTGCTAATCTATTTTATAATGGAGTCTTCTTACCTGAATGCATGGGTGTGGTCCACATTAATTTACTGGCAACATAAGGATGTGCATGGTAATATAAGTCTTTCAAATTAACATCACTCAATATACCGATGATATTAATGCATGGTTAATTATTTTATACTTGCAGATTGGGAATCCTTATATCGATGATAATACCGCTCTACTAGCCATTTTCGATAATTTGTGGACACATGCTTTCAACTCTGACGAAACCAATGCAGGAATACACAAATATTGTAACCTTACTAATTTAGGTGATAATCCCTCCGAAGAGTGTCGTAGATATGTGTCTCAAGCAGTCATGGAGCTAGGAGAAGATATTGATATTGCCAACATCTATGCTCCAGTTTGCACAACATCAGAGGACGATTCAGAACCCAAATCTGCCTCAACTGGTTCTGTAAATCTCTAAACTGATTTTAACAAAATAAAGCACGAAAAAAGAACAAAAAAATAATCTGATCGGAAGTTATTAATAAAAAGATACATAAAATCTTCTTCTGAGTATATTTGATGACCGTATATAATTTGATAGTGGATGTGTTATTAACAGTTTGGCATGAAGCTGGCTGATGTGATCAAATGGTAATAAGGCCTTGGCTCCGTTTTTGTATAACACTTATGCTCATAAGGAGTGCTTTTATTAGAAATATGCATGTTTGAATTTTATCAAAAAGACATGCAATTCTTGAAAAACACTTGGAGATGTTATGGGAAGCATCTCTGCAACATTAGGAAGCATATAACAAGTGCTTCTCCATGAAACATTTCCATGATCTAATAGTACTTTTTTTATTTTTTTTATCATACACAGTCATAACACTTTTGATTGCCAAAAAACACTTACAGTCTTTCTAGATTTAGTCCCAAACATCCCCTGGCTGTCATTGAGCTAATTATTTGACCAGAAAATATAATCCTTTTAACATTTTTCCTGCTGTCAACACTGTTTGAAAGGAGAGCTGTTTCCCATTAGGTTACATACACTATGAATCAATTGCAAGGACTTAATTATGACTTGGATTTTATGTTACATGCATTATCAGGTTGCTGCTGATTTTGATCCATGTTCTGACAACTATGTGGAGGCCTATCTAAACCTTGCCGAGGTGCAGTCAGCTCTTCATGCAAGACCGACAAAGTGGACTGCTTGCAGGTAAATATATAAGAAAGTTCTGTTTGTTCTGCAGCAAATTTTCACTTTCACCAAGAAAAAAAGCAGCAAGATTTTTCACCTTGGTTCACAACTACAAATCAACTTAATTGAAATGTATAGTGCTGGATCATCTGAGAATAAATACGCGCACACACACATATCTAACCTTTTCTTGTGGTCACTAGTGATACTGATTGGACGGACAGCCCAACAACCATGCTACCCACAATACAACAGCTCATTGAAAGTGGGATAAGCTTGTGGATATATAGGTGAGGCACCTTGAGCTTGAATTGTTAAGCTTCTATAATATTTGCTAAATTGTATGATCACAGATGGAATGGGAACTAAATAGTTTTTATGTTGAATGCAATTTGCAGTGGAGACACCGATGGGTACTTTTCAGTCACATCTTCTAGATACGCCCTACACATCCTCAACTTACCAATCCAGACACCCTGGAGGCCATGGCACTCTAGTACTGAAGAGGTAATACTTAATTCTTTTATTGATAAGGATGGTAGGATGCCCTATGAATTTTTTTTATGTTTATTTGGAACGCTTGTCAAGTGATGTATTGTTTATGTATTATGTTATAAGTGGTGATTTAGTCAATATATATCCTAATTCTAAGATATATATTACTAAAAAAAATACTTATTATAATTTGAATAAAATAATAATTAGAGAAGACAGTGTTCAAGTACATTGATATATTAATTAATTAATTTCCCCATGATCATCTTTGGCCTATTGGCACATATGGCAATCCAGGTCGGAGGATATGTGGTTGGGTACGAAGGGCTGACATTTGCTACGGTGAGGGGAGCTGGGCTCATGGTTCCCACCTACCAACCAGAGCGAGCACTCACCTTGATCTCATCTTTCCTTCAAGGACAGCTTCCTCCTCTCCCTCCCCCTCCCTCTCCCTAATTCCAAGAACATCATTTTCCGCCGGCACCGCTGCCGTCGTATGGAGCTATTCACTCGGCCAGATAGTCATTTGGTTTAGGAGGTGTTTTCAATAATATAAGCCCAATATAATAGGCTTTAGGCTTCAGTTTCATTAATATTTGCTTTTCCGGAGCTGTAGGGTTTTCATATCCTACATCGATGTTTATTGTCTCTTTTATTTAGAAAATAATACAAGCTTCACATTCCTACTTAATAATATGAATTAAAAGTTGAAAAACGATTGAAAGTGGGGTTGAAGAGAAGAGCAATATCTCACAATTCACATACGTATCTACATGAAACAGTAAAGCGATGATTTCACACTCAATTTTTTTCTTTGATATTACACCTTTGTTATTTTTTATTATTTGATTCTCATTTGATTATTTTTTGTTTTTTGATTCTCATTTAAAAAAAAATTTATTGTACATTAGAAAATATTTCAATATGATTGTCATATAATCATGAAATATTATTTATCAATTCATATTATAATATGTATATTTACTTATTAATATTATAATTCTAGAACCATGACATCTATATTATTAATATTATAATTCTAGAACCATGACTTATAAACCCTACTGTTTATTTATATTATAACACATAAGATAGTAGAATTAAATAAATGCGAACGTCACACTAAAAAACTTCTTCACGGTTTACCAATTCCTTTAAATAATAAAAAGATCCAAACTTGCTAAACTAATTATCCAATCAAAGGATTGGAATCTGCGGCATTCAAAGCGAATAGGATCCTATCCGGATCCTATTTGTTGGATCCAAAGAATCAATTAATCGTGTCCGTTCATCATACATTATGCAGTTAAAAATTATTTAAAATTAAATATAAATAGTACCTAACAAAAATTGACCGTACGATGTACGATGAACGAACACGATTGATTAATTCTCCGGATCCCCACAAAGAGGATCTGGAGAGGACCCTCGTCCCATTTAAAGCACAAGTACCCTTGTTCTACGATATTTTAATAATGGACACATAAATCGTAGCTTAGAATCTTTAGATGTGGCATTTTAATATGAACTATAAAGACACTCAGTACTATGGTTTGATGATATTCATTTTCACTTGAAAATGAGAGGTCTTAGGTTCAAATCTCGTGGATGGCGAATTCGATACCAAATTAGGTTGCCCATTGTGTGGCTTAACCGAACTCCCCTTCCTCATAGTGCAAAAAATATTGATGTACTAAAAAAAAACAATAAATGAATGAACAACTGTATTCACATTTAGCACAAAGCTACGATGAAAATACAGTTGTGGGATATGTTTAGTCCAAAAGCCGATAATTCCTTATTTACCAATCAACAAGGAAAGTGCTCTACAATCTTTCTCATTTATGTTGACCACATTTTGATTACATGAAATGATTTGCATGCCATTGATAGTCTTAAAAGTTCTTTAAATAACAAGTTTTGTATCAAAGATCTTGGTAGTTTAAGGTATTTTTTGAGCATAGAAGTGCACTCCATGAAAGGTATTTCATGATTTGAGAATAAAATCAATGGCCGGCCACTCCATTTTGTGATATCAATGAAACAGCTCCATATTGCCATAAATCCCTTGTTTTATAAACGAACAAGACGCATAAAGATTGTTTGCCATTTTGTTCAAGATAAGATTAAGGAAGGAAAGATTGTCACTGGATTCGTTCCATCCAAATCCCAGTTGGAAGACATTTTACCAAGGCCTAAGGCAAGGAACGCTTTTTTTGTTCTTTGTTAGACAAGTTTGGTGTTTATGATGTTTACTCTCCAAATTGATGGACAATGTTGAGAAAGTCAACAGCGTACAAGATATTTGCATAGATTAGCATCCAATCAAGCAAATATGTTGGAATGATTACCTTCCTACTTAGTGTTGATTATATCAATTAGCTAAATATTTACTTTCTTGCTTTGTACCAATTGTACCAATTGTAAGAATCAATTATAGGATTCTTTCCTATTAATATTTGTATATTGTAACTTATGAAAATAATCAATCAAGAAAATATTCAAAAATACTCAAACTATCAAATTCAATTGTTTCCGCATATATGTGTCCAAAGAAAAATCCTCTCGAGACAATGATAGGATGTGTTAAATAATAATTATTTTTCATAATTTTCTAGCCATTGAACCTAGCCATTGTATGTATTCCTTTTTTAGCCATTGTACTTAGCCATTGTCTCTAGCCATTGTATGTATTTCTTTCCTAGTATGCCTTATGTTGTCCCTAAAGCTAAGGCCTTAGCATTCTCATCCCAAACTTTCAGTTCTTGAAATTTATTCCTACAAATAGTATAAGCTAGTGTTTGATACTACTAGTTCACCAGCATATTCAAGCAACATAAATAGTGGAGATCATGAAGCTTTCACTGCTTACACGTTTGCTTCTCCTGTCAAGCAACCTATTAGCCTTTCTCATAATATCATGCAACGGTAACCAAATCGACAACCTCAAGAAGTTTTTTAAGTCCCGCAAATCTGCGAATCCTCCTCGGACAGACTTGTGGGATATCTTCAATGTTGCAGAAGGCCAATTTTCTCCGGTTTATGTTGGAGTCCAACATGGGTTGAAGGAAGCTGATAAGATTGGTTCTTTGCCAGGACAACCTCAAGGTGTAAACTTTGATCAATAAGCAGGGTATGTTACTGTGGACCAGAAAGCTGGGAGAGCATTGTTCCACTACTTTGTAGAGTCGCCGCAGGATTCATCAACTAAACCATTGGTGCTATGGTTAAATGGAGGTAAATGTTGCTTTGAAGTGTTACTATACAATTATTCATCTATCCTATAAGTTCCTTACCTTTTTAATTATGTTATCGTGGAGGTATATATGCGTATTAATATTCTTCAATCGATCAAGAGAGATGAGGGCGCGGGTCTGTGTATGAGGAGGGTTAGTGAGATGGGTTAATAAGAACAGCAAAAATTTAAAAATTGAATAATCCGAATTTTTGAATCCTTCTGCTTTGGGTCATTCCTAATAAAACATTTATTTGTAACAAACTATATATACCTACTCTTACTTTTGGTCAAAAACTATATAACCACTCGGAGCAAGTTGTAGTTATTTTCTAGGAAAACAACAAATCGGTGGATCGATGGATAACATGATAACATCATTTGTGACAGCAGTACTACTTTAAGGGAAAATAATACTTGAAAACAGTTAAAATTGTTGAAATATCTCACATCGACAGTATTTAGGAGAAAAAAAAGTGTTTAAATATCTTAATCCTTTCAACTAATACCAAGATTTTTTATGATAAAACTTCATATCTGACGGATTGTGCATGTGAAAATTACCAAATTGGAGATAATATTGATGTTGTTAGAAGTAGACCTTATGTCTGTCTCGCTGATAATTTCACTACTATAATAATAGACTTAAGGCGATCGATCAGTCGGTTTGTTGTTTAGCTATCAACCAAATTTGATATAAACAGCCACGATATATATAATTAATGCTTAAAGTAAAAAAGAATGCATGGGGTTTACATCCCAAATGTTTCCTGGCCAGCCAAGCGAGCTAGGTGGACAACACTTGCAAGAATTTTCCGAATAATCTTGTATTCTTGAGCACCAACTATCCCTGTACGTACGTAGTGTGTTTCCCAATATACATAAATCAAACACGGTTTGTGGTACAATTCTTGTGGAAACTCATGAGACATCATCACTTTTAATAAAAAAATTATGATGTTTTGTAATATCGGATATTTTAAACTTTTTAATTGTTAAATCTTTGATTAAAATTATAAAAACTATAACCTAACAGTTGAAAAGTCCAGTGTATAATTATATACTCGAGAGCACCATTAAATAGTCTAATCGTCAAAAAGTACTAGGGTGATAGTATCCACCACTAAATGAAGATATTTTTATGTCCATGGCAGCAGATTCTATAGGTTTGAAAATAACCGTTACTAAGTTGTTTGAATGGTTTTGAGCCATGTAATGTGTTGTATATTCTGATTTCCACTTGTAAAGGGCATACTATTTTCTCTCTTCATGAAAAGAAAGCACATACAAGAGACACGAGAGAGAACAAACAATCAAAATTAGCAAAAAATGGACAAGAACGAAGAACTTTTTGGCCAGTTCTCATTGTTGTTGCCACAACTACTTATGAAGTTATGAAGTCTAATGACAGTTTGACCATAAAATTGTGAATAACTCCCATTACATGACACAATTTTATGCTACAACAATGCCACACTCCAACAGTTCACATCTCTTATATAGTCTCAGAATTAGAGCTAAAACTTCTTTGGCTTCAAGTACTCACTATAATTAACTGGCTAAACCATCTTCTAACAACTCAAAGCTGACATACAATATTTTAACACCTCAATGCTGACTTGTCAGTCAGTATCAGACAACAGTTTCATGCCACGTACAACGATGCCACCTCCAATAATTTCATGTGTATGATTTACGTTGTTGTGTACATATATACAGGACCAGGATGCTCATCTTTTGGATATAGAGCCATGGAAGAACTTGGACCCTTCAGAGTCAACAGTGGTAGAATGACACTATTCAGAAACGACTATGCTTGGAACAACGGTAATTACAAAAATTATGTCAACTTCAGCAATTTTTTTCATAGAACGTAGCAATTAGTGGTACGAAAAAAAGCTGAAATTAAAAATAGAAAACTTAACAATTGTGGAAATCAAACAACGACTATAACATTCATAGCATTGAGTGCTATGGGGCACTGAAGCCACACAATCCCCAACTTTAGACTCGTTAGAATAATAAACACCAAAAAATGTAGCAGTGGTACACGTGATCTTCTTGGAGTCACCAGCGATAGTTGGGTTCTCATATTCAAACACAACGTCCGACTATGAAAACGAGGGTGACAAGAGAACAGCGGAAGACTCTTACAAATTTCTCATAAACTGGCTGGAGAGATTTCCCCAATACAAATCCAGGGATTTCTTCAATACAAATCCAGGGATTTCTTCATTATTGGAGAGAGCTATGCTGGTAATTACGTGCCTCAACTTGCCTCCACCATAATCTCAAATAATAAAGTCACAAATCAAACAAAAATTAATCTCAAAGGAATTGCTGTGAGTATCGTACATTATTTATTAGTTAATTAACTGTAGATCTTATATTATATTTTTATCTGATCTTCATGTGTTAATTATATATATATATTATATGAATAATCACGTGTTTAGATTTACCGAATTAGGATAAGTTCAGAGTTCAATTCCCTCTAACTTAATAAAAAGAAACATGTTTAGAATTTAGATAGTTCACAGTTCATTTCCTTCCAATGTAACAAAAAACACACTTTGTGCAGATTGGAAATGCTTGGATCGATGATAGTACGGGTGAGCTGGGGATTCATGATTATGCGTGGACACATGGTATGAACTCCAACGAGACGAGTGCAGGGATACACAAATATTGTGATTTTTCTTCCGGCAATTCCTCCAGCGCATGTGACAAATATCAAAGTCAAGCAAGGGAGGAGCTTGGAAATATATAGATTTATAACATCTATGCTTCCCTCTGCAAAACAATATCAGAAGCCACTAAATCTCTCCCAAAATCTTCTGTAAGTCTATCTGCAGCTAGCTAGAGAGCTCAAAGGAGTATAATATACATTATATTAGACTGAGTTAATCAAGCGTTCAAAGTAAATGATTAACTGGGATGCTATCATGATACAGGTTGATGATTTTGATCCATGCTCTGACAATTATGTGGAGACCTATCTAAATCTTCCGGAGGTTCAAGCGGCACTTCGTGTAATACCTACAGAGTGGTCAGCTTGCGGGTATATATATTTTTGGACAACTTTGTGCCTTAATGGTACATTAAAATATGCACTACAACAAGGGTTGCCGGGAGCTAATTTTATCACCTTAAAAATGTCATTCTGCACTCTAATTCTATAGAAAACAAGAGAAAAATTGTATAATAAAAGAGAAAGGCGTGCCACAGGGCGGGGGCTAGGGAAATTCTGCCCTGATGTGGCTGTTAAAGTCCCACATCGGTGGGTTCAAAGAAACCCAATAGGTTTAAATAGAATTGTCCTACTCTAACTAATATTGAGTTTTTTGTGGTAAAACTCAACACCCGACGGATTGGGCAGGTGATTAAGTTGGGAATAGTATCAGCATCGTTAGAGTGAGACGGACCCATTGATCCAAAAATGGTGATTAAGTTGGGAATAGTATCAGCATCGTTAGAGTGAGACGGACCCATTGATCCAAAAATCGAACAGTGTCTTCACGGCTGATAAATTATTTTAAATTGTCAGACAGGGAAAGAGAAAGACGTTTTATTTATAACTAACTCACTCTTATTTTTCATGAGTTGCGTCTAGTGGAGTTGGATGGACGGACAGCCCAACCACCACTCTACTCACGATAAAGCAGCTGATAGCAAGGGGGATAAATTTATGGATATACAGGTGAAACCCTTCAGTTGATTAAGCTAAGTTTAATGATCCCAAAGTTCCCCTTCCACTTCAGAAGATTAATTTTCATGAGAAATGCTAATGAGACTCTTTTAATGTGAGATTCTCTGTCACCTCATAGTTTAACATTAATTTCGGTGCCAATATTATAAAACATTGTGCAAAAAATATGACAGATGGTCTATGGAGAGTCTCATTTTAAGAATCTCCTTAGCATTTTTCAATTTTCATTCACTAATTGATTAAGGTTATATTATTTCTGCATTTATGTTACATAGATATAAACACATGCATATTATAATTATATTTTAGTAATCTATAGCACCTGAGATTTTTCATGTTAAATATGCAACCCGCAGTGGAGATACTGATGGGAGAGTACCAGTCACATCTTCTAGATGCCCCATAAATTACACTTTGAAATTGCCTCTACAAACTCCATGGCGACCCTGGTATCCAAATGGACAGGTACTTAAACATCCACATCCTGTTAGAGTATGTTTAGTATTAACAGATAAACACGTGTTATAACAAGAGCAAACTATAATACCAGTAGATATGATACAAAAGCGTAACTCCATACACTAATTTATATATGTCAATCCAAGATGGTATGACACATAATTGGCTGGCAGGTTGGAGGATATGTAGCTGGGTACAAAGGGTTGACATTTATCACCATAAGAGGAGCAGGTCATATCAACCGCAGCGATCATTTACCTTCATCTCATCTTTTCTTCAGGGGAAGCTTCCACCTTCCTCCTAATTAAATCATATCAAATTCCCAACCCCACTTGATTAATCCTAGGTTAATTATCTGAATATACAGATATTTACGTTCAAATATTCAAAAAGTATATATGGTTTGTAACCACATATATATTTAAATTCAGTAATTAAAACAATGACCAAGATGATCGGATTATATAATTTATTGGGTTTCTTCTTGTTTTGAAATTTGTGTTGGATGAAAATGATTCATGAATAAAATTTTCTGTTACAAAGCTTATAGATAAGATAAGAGGAAGATTTGTCTCATTCAAAATTTTTTTTTTCTTTGCCAAGTTTTTTTTTTTTTTTTTTTATTGGGGACGGGGACAGTGCTATATACAACAAATTCATGCACTAAGTGATGTGATGCATTCAACACGAACAATGACAAGAACTCTCGAAAAATTAAGAATAAAATGTACAAATAATTATACTCGTATCTCGTTACTACACATGAACTGGCAGTCAAACATAGCACCAAAACTGCTGTTACATAGCGTAATTGAATAAAACAAAATTTACATAAACACAATAGTCTCTTCAGGGACCAGGAAGAAGCTTTGCCTAATGAATATGATCCCCTCGGGGTGTTGAATATCTTGACGCCTTCCATTCATACTCTTTGCAAATATTTCGTCCTCGTTCTGCAGCTAGTTTATGCAGAAACTAGGAAATTCAACTTCCCATTTCTGCTCCGGCTATCTCCTGGTCAGCCTGCCTGGGCCTGGGAGAGAATTGAAGACACGCAGCTTATTTAATCTATACCACCACAGGAAAAAACAAAAAACAAAAAACAAAAAAACAAAAAAAAAAAGAAAAGAAAAGAGGATGCAAGTTACTAAACCGTAGCAGAAGGAAAACTCAACCTGCAAAACAGACCGCCTACAAATTTACAAATGTACATTTGCTTGCAACGCTTCAAGTATGCTACCCACCCACCTGTTGTCCAAAACAAAAAGGTTCAGAAAGAACAAGAAAAGAAAAAGGATATAAGAAGGCATCTCATAGTAGCTCAGTACAACGATCGTCTGGGGAAAAATCAGATATAAGAAAATCCGAACAATGAAAACCATAGAGTATATTTGAATTCACCATCTCTTCACATCGGATGAAAAGGATAACATACAGTAATGAAAAGTCAATATTACCCTTCAAGACCTGGGTTTGCCGGGTAGTAAACATTTCTCAGGCCTAATTTCTTAGCAGCCTTAGCAGTTGTCTGACCAATACAGGCAATTGAATTGCTCCATTTCTCTGGCTCTGAAATAAGACCGACCCAGGCACTGTTGGAGAAAACAGATAGTGAAAAACAAATAACTCTTTAAGTAGCTTCAAGAAAGTATCCACATGCTACATATGACAAAAAAGCAACCAGTTACTGACCGAATAGCTGAAGGAGAAGCAACTGCTATGACAGGAGCGGTGAGTGCCTGCTTTAAAACTGTTTGGTCGACACGATGGACAGGTCCCTAGAAGGAAGTATCCCAAGAAACATGATAAGTTATGACGGAAATAAGTCATTAGCTATCAAAAGTAGTCCTATTCAATTAGTGCTAATATAACATCAACTGTCGACCTGCAACCTATAACAAAAAGGTTCAGACAAACATATCAAACTCCAAATGTCCACATTACACTGTAGCAAGGCAATGATTGAGAAGAGGAGCAGGGACGCCTATTGATCCTGAATGACGTACTAACTTTTATGGTGGACAACTATAATTTCCAAAACCAAAAACCTGGAAAGAGAAATTATCTTTGATGGAATCCAACAGCAACACAGAAAAGATGACCAATCGATGACAACAAATATAGAAAAGTGAAGTGTAAATATCTTGTCGTTAATCTACAAGAAATTTTTCACAGAACCGTTAATAAAAAGTAGAAATTATAGATCACTTAAAACCAGTATAAGGAGACCACACTTGCATGCCAAAGTTGAGTAAGCACACCGTTGTGTATGTATTTAGCCTTGTGACCTCAAACCCACGATTGGACAGGCCTTCCTCTGAAACAAATACAAAAGATGAAAATGGTGAATCAAAGATATGTGACAGCGCACATAATCTTATAAGCCACTACAACTCTAAATTGACCAAACTGCAGGCTTCATCACGTGACATACCCTATGTATCCCAAAAATAAGACTTGCAAAAGATTGCAATCATGAATATGCCTAATCCTAAAATGGTGAAAGCAATAAAAACTCTATCCAAAAGAAGCAGGCATCCAGATTGAAGCATTCCATGTACCAATCTCATTGCTGGCCTTCGCAGAAGCAGGATATAAAACAGTGCATTTTTCAATCCCATTCTTAGGAAGCTCTGAAGCCAAAACCTTGCCTGTTGCTGAAGAGTTGCAGTTATTAAAAAAAGAGCAAGAATCATCAGAATCCAGCAATGGCATGGAGAGCATACCCACAATATTGAGTCTTAAATTAAACAAAAGAAAATGATAATAAAATCAAGCTCAGCAATCTAGAAAACTTTTGTTCAGATATTCAATATTCAATGAATCTCATACTTCGATGCATCTACATTTGGAGAGTTTTTAATTTAATACTTTCCAGAGGTTTCATAATGTTTTTAAGATGAAGTTCGCCTTTCTTGGACCTTCACATTGATTGAAGGAAGCATAACAGGCAATAGTACAGTTTGCACAAACTAAATTATTGCCTACACTGTTTCATAAGTACCTTTGGATGGCACAAAGGCAATGTTGAGGGATCGCTTTGAGGACTGTACTACTTCCTCAAATATGCTTGCTGTACCAGCCCCCACAACCCCTACTGTAACATTTGGACTTCCAGCAGCCCTAAAGGTCAATAATAAAGTAACAATTTGTATGAACAAGTCTTTAAATGCAAAATACGCCAGGTTTTTGTTTATTGAGTTTTCTCCCTTACTTCCAGGCCTCTAAGAAGACTGAACCCGCTTCAGGGGAAGTTATGACAATCCAATCAAATGTAGTATCTGCTGCCAACAAGGGCCATTAAATGAAGAACGCTATTAGAAAATAGTTGTACATTTGTTTGAACTATGCTAGGTGAGCATGTAATCAAATAAACACAATCCATCACAAATTCTTTTCATACACACGGGACATAACTTGAACTTTGTGAAAAGAAATTTGGAAACATCGAGCTGAAGTTTGAAGGCCAAAGGACAAAATGGGTGAAGTCAACTTGGTTGCATTATCTGTGAAATTACTCAACGACATCGACAAATTAGAAAAGGAAGTTGAAGAATTTACCACTTAACACTGTACAAAGCCTATCCAGATCAGGCCCCCGTGTATGCTGAATGAGCGGAAGCTCCAAACAGCTGATTCCCTGCTTGGCCTGCACTCAAAATTCGAAAATTCAATCACACTGCCACCAGAGCGACCTGTTCTACAAGTACATATAAACACACACATCCATCCATGTAGACATAAACAGGCATACGCGTACATATACGTATTGACTCAAAAAGGCAAGCATTTTCAAATTTCGTGTTTAGGTGCCGAAAAATATGTCAACTGAATATGAAAGAATTAAACTTTCAAATGTGATTGTGTTGGAGAATATCAAAGAATTAAACTTTCGATAAACGGTGGAAATGGCAAAATAAAAAATTGATGATTTACAAATGCTGAAGAACAAAATGCCGTAAACTGCCAATCACTGTCGCATTTCATCAAACACCTAGCTGGTAATCCAAAAGCTAAACTGCGGCCCGAAAACATTTCAAAATATACTTTGAGAATTTTGACAACCCATCAACAGTAAATGCAGAGTATTTCACATTTCACAAGATCAAATTCGAAAATGCAAGAGGGCGTCCCCAGAGTACATTTCCAAAATGCAGAGCCCTAGAAATCCAACACAGCACAAACAGCCAAATTTCCAGTCCCCCAACAAAATCGCAGGTAAAAAAAATGGCAGAGACAGAGGGAAAGCGAGAGGCGGAGAGAAATGCGTACCAGGGAGGCGATGAGCTTGCTGTTCTTGCCGTGCTCTCTAGTCACGACGACTCTCGGCGGCGCGTGTGAATTGGAGGTGGAAGTTACGGAGGCCACTTGGATTCTGGAAGCAACCACGAAGGTTCGCCGTTGAAGTGGCGGACAAGAAGGTGGGTAGGAAATAGGAGGAGAGAGAGAGGAGAGAGAAAGGTGTGCCATTCGAAACGTGTTGCGCAGAGAGGATTGCAGTAGGCCATCAAGTATACAAAATGTCTATTAATTAATTTTTCATTAATCATCTGATTCCGCTATGAAAATTATGTTACCTCCTGCTAATATTTTATATTATTATTTTTTTATTTATTATTTTTATAAAAATAATAAACAAAAGAGCACGGAAAATGAAAGAGCAGGGAATCTGTCTCTGAAAATTATAAATTAGCCCACTATGACTGACCAGAATGGTCGGATGACACGTGTAGGGTGGGTTGGTGGACACGTGGCAGTTCTTGGTGAGATGTGTCACATGGCTGTGGACTGTCCTCCAGGCATCCAACCAATCAGCTTCCTGTCATATGCTTGTCTTTGGAGCTATCATTGTGCTGCACGTAGGATATGGTTTCCTTTTTGACCTCCACCTTACGGGCATCTCCAAGGGACGAATGCAGAGGTGAAGTTGTACGTGGCGGGGCGTTCGGCCGTTTTTGGATCATTCCGTCAAACAATCTCCAAGAACGGCCAAAAATCATGATTACAATGATCTTCCTTTTTAATTGTTAATTATCTTCCTATCCTTCTTCTTCTCTTACACTTTCTTTTTTATCTCTCTCTATTAAGAAAAATGAATGTAAGATGTTAAAGTGACTAAATCGTAACGTTCAAATAAGAGGGAAGAGAATGAGAGGAGAATTAGAAGGGGTGAGAATCATAATTCAAAATTCATAATTAGTGGAGGATATATGGTTTCCTTCCAATATTTATCTTGTCAAAATTTGTCCTTATGGCGAGGGTTTTCGGCCATTCTTGGCCGAATCCTTTTATATAGTCCCTATTTATCTTAAAATTCGACCACATTCAACAATGTGGTCTAAACGTTGTAAATTTTTATGATCCCTTGTTACATGTTTTAACTTTATAACAAAGAAAAACATTTTACATCATGTCATCCTCACACACTACCTGACATGTAGCTTCACTCTTAGGTGAATATATTGCAATGCCATGAAGAAAGTTGAACTTCAGATCCTAAAACCAAGTAGCAAAATTTCTTAATTTTATTGCAAGGATTAAGTCTGTTGAAGGTAGAAATCTGCATAATCATTTTTTAGTTTGTGCTAAATTTTGGCTCCCCATGTGTCCCGAATGCCCAACCCAACTCAAGGGTGTTGTGCGCCCCAAGGTTCCAACACCCGCCAGCTCAATTTTGATTCATGGTAGATTTGAGTCTGTTTATGGCTACTTGATCGTACGTCGATGTGAGCAGTATAATATATATAAGACTGGGACCTGCACAATGATGATGATGGTTGTTGTCAATTATCACTAACGCACATTATTCTAACGGCCCGCTTGCAAATGTTTATTTAGAAATTTAGTAAATGCGCTTTTATCGTAAACACGTTTAAACTTTCAATAAAGCAAAGCGCGATTTTAAAAACTCATGTGAAATTTTATAGTGCTTTTGATCATCTAAAATAGCGAAACTAAGTTCATTTATGTTACTATATTGACAGTCTAATACTACGTAAAATCCAGTGCATTGGCTTGTAATATTTACCGAATGTAGTTCAAAGATAACCAATCCAACCCGTAAAACTCATTTTGGAGCAGAAAATTTTGGATCCTCTAATGTTTGCTGGCTACCAATGAAAAAATAAGGGAGGTATACTTACAAGATAGCTTGACGCTCAAGTAGCGAGTGTTTGAGATGATTACAGCAGAAAGCATGCAAACAATAAGAAACAACCCCCCACTCGACCCTTCTCTAAGAAAAAACCTCAACATATTGAGTTGGAAAGAGGTTGTCATCAGAAGCCTTGTTGCCTTTGAACAATGCTACTACAACGACAAGCGGTACATAATGTTATTCTCATGGACCGCTTTGTGAACGATGAGAAGGATGTGGAGTTACTCGTTGAGAATGAGAGAAGTGTGCGGCAGCGAAACACCAAGTTTAAAACATAACACAAGTCAAATTTGCCTTGTATTTGCGGCACGGCCTTCTGCAGTACTTGTTCAGGTCTTCACCCAAAAGTAGACTGCAGTCCCGTGTCAAACATAACACAAGGGCAACTTGGCACTAGCATGCTAAAGATTATCTCGCATATTTTAAATTCATGGAGGCCATGTACTGATCGAATAATAGTTTCCCTAAAAATTACGTAAATCTGAAGAAATGATCAACGAAATCCCTTGCATAACTACCTTAAGTTGTCAAAATTCAGTTCCACTCCACAATTAGAGGGATTTATAAGAATTCTAGAGAGCCGAGCAAATTACAGATCCATTAAGTCTGATTTCTAAACTACTTACGCAGCTTACTCGGTTTGCTCACTGATGGTAGGTTGCTACCGTACGCAGGAGCTGCTGTCTCAACTTACTTGTTGTTGGTGGGTGCCATACACCGGATAAGCTCCATATGCGGCCGCAGCTGCAGCATACATGCTTGGGTCATGATGTGGTGGTAGAGCATAACCGTAACCTTCATAAACAGGTCCTCCATAGTAGGAGGCACCTCCCCATTGGTTGCCAAAATCCGATCTGAACTGCTGAAAATCAAAATCAAGGAAAACAAAAGAGTGGTGAGAATAAAAAAAACTAAAGGCATGATAGAGGCGTTACAATTGTATTTCTTCACACAACACGAAGAAGACGAGTTTTGTTGTGGACTTGGGAAGGGGTTATGAAAAGGGAGAAATATACCTGCTTATTTGCTGGATTGCGACCCCATGAAAGGCGGACTGTTTGCTTGCCAATTACTGTGCCATTCAGTTTCGGCAATGCCTCCTCGGCGTTATTTCTGTCACAAGAGGTCAAAAGGATCATGTCCCAACTCGTTGTTAAGTAAAAACTATACCACCACCAGTGTTGCAGACCAATATCATGACGAACAGTTTACCTGTTAGCAAATTGTACAAATCCACATCCTTTTCCAACTGGTATTTTAACGGAAACTATCTCACCATACTGAGAGAAGGGCTGCCTGAGATCTTCATCAGTAACATTAGGATCAAGCCCCCCAACAAATATCTACAAATGACATACACATCAGCAAAGGGGGTAGAGAAAAGCACAGTGTCGATTGGTTAAAAAACCATGAAAGTTAGAAGACTCACTGTTGTGTTCGTAGAATCTCCATCAGATTGGAATCCTTGGGTTGGTGTACCATTTGAAACATAACCCCCTGCAGAAACCACAAAATATAAGCAGATAAAAGAGAACATAACATTCAAGCCATGGTCATGCAGAGATTTATTAGCCTCTTTCACAATATAAAACCATCGTTTGGAAACGGAACAATCTAATTTGAATAGATCACAAAGGACGAGAAAATTACAAACAGCTAATAAAAAATAGTCCAATAAAAGGAAGAGGATTGATGATTACAACTATTCCAGAAAGATACCATCAATTTAATGTGCAATATGTGGGAAAACCGGCTCCTACTTGCCAAAATGAACTTTAAACACCTTAACTAGGCAGTGAATACTTCTAGCAGTAGTTTCAAATATTCCATGATGGAGGTAAAACTACAGCATGACATTCATATAACTCCTTACTACATATATACAAAAGATTTGAAGTACCAAAATCAACTTCAAATAGAGCAAGTCGAGGCAAATACCTTTCTTACCAAAGAGAAGAACTAAACACCTCCTTATCAAAAAGCAGAACTAAATACCTTGTGAAGAGTATTGTTGCTGATACGCAGATGATTTCCTAGGAGTTGCGGCCCCGATGCGCATAGGCCTGCTGGAACAAAAGCTACCATTCATTTCAGTCATAGCCTGTGACCTTTCATTCTCGTCTCCAAACCTCACAAAACCGTATCCCTTTGAACGGCCAGTATTGGCATCAAAGACAACTTTTGCAGCTTTAACAGATGGATATTTACTAGAAAAAGTTTCGTACAATAAACTATCTGTAACATCTGCAGCTAAATCTCCTACAAAAATGGAAAGATCAGGAGCATTATCTGAACGCTTATCACCCGTGCTAAATGTAGCCCAGTTCAGACGGAAGGGCTGCTCTGTGTTGGGCATTAGAATGCCAGCGTAGTTCTGTAGAACTTTCTCAGCTGTTGCATGTGAAAAAAATTCTACGAATCCGTAGCCCTCTGATAAAAGAGTCTGCTTATTGCGAATAACCTTAATGGAGGCAATCTGCAAGGCATAGGAAATACATGTTATCGAAAAGGGCAGTCATGATCAATTACACAGACAGAAACAATAGGTAACAATTTCTTCAAGAAATCAGCCGAGTTTGTTTCGGAAAAAATTCCGACTGCAAAGAAGAAGGAAAATAAGAAACAAATAAACACAATTTCATGCCTGGACAAACAAAATATCATAACCTTTAAAATCTACCTTCTGACAGAATTAGAAATCAGAACAAGCAATATGCACTCAAAATATATTCTTCCGGTTTGTACTTTTCAGCCTTTTTTTTCAGTAATTGCCTCAAATATGTACAGTTTCCAATACATTTTTAGTAATGCCTCAAAATACCCAAATGAGAAAAAAAAGCCTACAAAAGTACTGTTGTTCGTGCACATTCCTTTCCCATCCAGCATTAGCCACCAAAAGGGCAAAATTTTCCAATAGTATACTACTATAATTATATATCCCCTCTTTAGTCCATCATTAATTGGGTTAGCTTAACACTTTCAGACCTTGTTTGGTACGCTATACTATATAACTATGTCTACTGGATAAACTAATTTGGCATCAGATAATACTGACTATATCAACCACAACAATTGCACCATTTTTTACTATATCAACCACAAAAATTGCACCATTTTTGTCATGTATACCAACAGATCCCTTAACAAGAGGATCCCCATTATTTGAAAAAAAATGAGGATTAGATGTGGAACCCACTTCACATTGAACTTCCATGATCCGAACCGTCTATTTTGTAAGTCTCGATTTATAGATCATCCTTGCAAAAATTCAATTCAATCCGAAACCATTTGCTTATTTAATTATCAAGATAAAATTTCATTGTTTCTTATATAACAAAATATTCGTTAATTTCTTTGAACCCAATTAGATGTCTTAAACATTCCCGATTTGGTTAATATTTTGCAAGGATGATCTATGTGGTACAACTTGAAAAAATTAACGGTTCAAATCGTTGAAGTTCGATGTGGATTGGACCCTATACCTAATCCCCATTTTTTGAAAAAAATGGAGATCCCTTTTGTTAAAGGATCTGTGAATCCAAATGCAGCTCAGATAAATATACCAACCCATAAAACCCAACACAGAACTATAGCAAAATTAAATGAACTAATAAACCATGCAACAAGTCATTAAACCCCAGCTACATGCTTGCAACCCAATTAAGCAGAAACGTCAAAGCATCCAACTTTCAACCCAAACATCAATTTTCACAATAAAACAAAATAAAGGTTTCATCTTTAATATGAATTAATATACCGACGTTAAAAAACCCATACAAATGTGTACGTGAATATATATATATATATATATATAGACAGGAGAGAGAGAAACAGAGAGAGACCTCGCCAGTGGATGCAAAGCAGGTGTGGAGGTAATTCTCGTCCATCCAATGGTGCAAATCGCCCACCCAGATGGTCTTGTTCTCACCGCTAGATCCCAACTGCTGCTGCTGGAGGTGTTGTACGTGCTGCTGCTGCTGGTACTGGTGGTACGCCATGTAGTGCTGCGGCGGAGGCGGAGGCGTCGCGTAATGCTGCGGCGGCATCATCTGGTGCTGCATTACCATCGCCGCCGCCGGGTACTGCATCCCCATCCACTGCTGCTGCTGCGGCGGCGGCGGCGTCGTCTGGGCTTGAGCCTGTTGCGGCTGCGGCCGTTGGTTATTATTCTGTTGCTGCTCCTCCTGCTGCTGCACCGACGAATCAGAGCCGTTCGATTGCATCCTCACACCACAAAAACACACTCTTTATTCTCCCTCTCCTTCCGCTAAACGACGCAGTTGAATTCGAACTTAAGGAAGTTATGGATTCAACGAACTGAGAAGTAGTTCTGGGAGTTCTAGAGAGAGAAAGAGAGAGAGAGCTTTTCCGAATCTGGAGGTTTTAGAGAGAGAAAGTAAGAGGGAGGAGCGAGCGGCTTGGGCTGCGGGAGGAAGGGGAGGATTTATTATTTGTGAGGACGACGGATTCATGGGTTGGCTTCGTAAAATGCGGTTGGTTTCTCCACCGACGGATTAAACGGTGGGGTCTGTTGTCCACCGTTGGATCTCACACACAAATGATAAGTGATAAGCACAAGTATACTGTTTTGTTGATCCGCCGCCAGCTGCCCTTTGCCCTCGTAACGAAAATATTTCCTTTTTTATTTTTATTTTTTATAATATTTTTGGGGGTTTTGGATTTACCGCGTGACGTCACGCTCTGTTCTCGGATTTCAGTGAGGATTTATTGAGGTGAAAAGAAATCCTTATTTTTTTATTGGATTCACCTTCTTTTTCTGTTTGCCTTCCATCTTCTTCTTTTACTCTTTACTTTTTTTACAGAACGCGGATAAGTACGGAGGTCAGGGGAAACCCAGAGGAGGATGTTTGTGTTGGCAAGCTGAAGTTTGGGTCCTCTTCTGGAAAGCTATAGATGGAACAACCAGGAGTTAAAGGTTAGATTCAACTCAAGTTAGATTTTGAGGGTGAGAGGGAAGGATGGAGAGAGAATGGTAGCTGCAATCAACAGCTAGGAGTTAAAGGTTAGATTCAACAGTGATTAATCATTTCGCAATAAATTCATGCATTTTTTTTTATTTATAAATATGGTAACTTTCATTAAGTAAAATGTTAACACGGGCAGCGGAAGCTCGAATAGACGGTCTAAAATAACCAAGTAAAAGCATAGCGAGGTAATTTTCACTTTATTGCTCTTAGATACTGTAATTTTCAAATTTTGATACATAAGATTTTTTTCATTTTAGTTTTATACTTAAAATGCGTATTATGTGACATTTTCTTACTTTTGTCAATTTTTCAGAACCACCTTTAAAGCGTAATATGGCGCTTAGTTGGTGACCATGACTAAGTGACATGTGGCATGTGGGCATTAAATTTTGTTTTTTAATAAAAATCAATAAATTATAAAAATTATAAAACTAAAAACCAATATCTTCTCGTCATCGTCATCATCATCATCGTTGCTACTTCACCGTCTTCAAACCCAAAGACCCCAAAATCTCTATCTCTGTCGTCCAACTCCCTTCCTTCTCCATCCAAAACTCCACCGTTAACTTCACCTTCGCCAAATACATCTCCATCCGCAACCCTAACGGCGCCGCTTTCAGCCACTACGACAACATTGTCCAGCTCCTCTACTCCGGCAGCGAGTCGGGTTCATGTTCATACCTGTTGGTAAGATCAAAGTGGGTCTGACCCAGTTCATGGCCCCCAACTTCGCTGTCTAGTTGTTCTAGTCTTCGATGCTAATCGGGCTTCCAGAATCGTCCAGAACCCAATGGGGCTGACTTTCGGAGGCTAAACCATCTTCAAATTGAATGTTTTTTACGAGATGATCTTTAGATCATGAAAAAGAAAGTATACTGTTCCAATTAAAATGTTGTCCTGTGAAAATAAATCATAAATAAGTAGACAATTAAGTTTCCCATAAGTTACAAACACAAGTACTATCCTTTAATCTTCTACATTTCTTCTACCATTTTTGCTCTTATATATTCCTCATCTTCCTCATGTACTATTTTTCGTCACCTCTAACACAAAAATAAAAAATAACTTTAGCGTAATATGTTTGAGTTTGACCACAATGCACTACCAAATTAGACATTAATTGTCACAGAAATTATGACTAAAGAATGAATTGTGACGTAATTGATAAAAATGTCATTCTTTTTGTTGGAGTATAAGATTCTAAATCAGGTATATGACAAAATAGTATACAATTAATAAATGAGAGTTTCCATCCCATAAGGCTTTGGTGATAAAATCCAACACCTAGTAATAAAGTGATTAAGTTGGGACAATATCGGTGATGTCAGCGGTCAACCATACTAGGGTTGTAAAGTTTACCGTGGTATCAAAGCATCTATTCTTTTGACAGCCCTACACCTGATTTAATGGAGTGGAATTTACCTTTTTAAGTTGAGCTTTTCTAAATATTGTGCTAGCTCTAGCTTAAGAATATTGATAACTGGATCCTCAAAAAGTTGTGTTGACTCTAATCCATGAATGATGACCAGACTCTCGAAAAGTTGCATTAGCTCCTGTACAATGACTTGACAAGTTCTCGATGTGGAAATTGGTTTCCCTTGTGACCTTGTGTGAAGCAACTTGTCAGGGGGCGTATTGCAGAATAAGATCTCAAACCGGGCATAGACAAAATAATATATAATTCATATATGAGAGTTTCACCCTTAATATCATTGAGGCATTTTTAACAAAATTCAACACCTAGTAATAAGCGGTTAAGTTGGGACAACATCGGTGATCTGATGGTGGACCATGTTGGTCCTATAGGACGTGTTTGCTTGGCCTCGTTAAGTTTCACTTGACTAGACCAAATTACATATTAGTATAAGCATGTGTTTGTTACAAGCAGAACTAAGTTTAATAGGATAAAGGAGGACTCACCGCGACTAAATCCCTCACTAGGAGGTCTTAGCGAGACCCCAATGGTCCGTTTGTTTGCACTCACTAGCATTCACTAGACTGGATTGGACTAAGTGGTAGTCTAGTCCCGTGTTTGGCACAAACCAAGACAAGCTTTAATGAGACTCACCCCGACTAAACGAGACTAAGAACTTTGCTAAAGGGTCTTAGCGAGACCCCCCAAAATCGACCAGACTGGTAAGCCAACTCTTCCCTACTTCGTCCCTCCCATTTACTTGTTCCTCACAAGATTTGAAACCCAGGTCCCATATACAAACTATGCCCTGCTTCGCCCCTTTCATCTACCACTTCCAAACCCATATCCCGCAAAATTCAAAACAAAAAAGGCAAAAAAATATACAATATTTCCATTTTCAAAACCAGATCCAAATCCAAAATTCTAAACAAACAAAAAAATAAAATAAAATTTACAAAAATCGTTTTGCGTCTGAAACGCACAGCAATTGCTCTAATCACAGTGCACCTAGTCCAGACTCCTTGATCGCAGACCTTCGCCATTGACGCCAAAAAACAGACCCATTAATACCCAGGTGACCCAACTCTAATTTGGGTTCTGATTCGCTAATTGGGTCCCAGAAAAATTAGGGAGAAAAGAGGGAGATGAATGGAGAGCAATAGAAAGAAAAAGATGGAGATGAAAAGGGAAAGGGACGAAGAGAAAGAGGGAGAGGGGCGAAGAAAAATTAGGAAGAAACATAGAGGGGGACGGAACAAAATTAGGAAGAAAAAGAGGGTTAACGGAAAAGAATTGGGAGGTTTCTATAATGAAAAAAAATAGACAGTAGTAGTAATAAAATATTACTAAATACTAGCCTCTCTGCACGCATTGCATCATGGGCGCTACACGCCCCTAAAGGTGTATTGTGTTAGTTTTTTTTGTTCCATTGTAATTGTAGAGATATATTTTAAATGTATTGTGCAAAGATGAACTTTTTCTTTACCATGCACGTCCTAAAAAGTTGTCATGTTTTTCGTTTTCACTTTGCATAAAGTAATGATTTAAATGTATTCATGCAATTGTCAAACTTACAGTCAAATAGTCTACCTTGTCAATTTTTGTTGCTTGACCTAAAGAGGTGCAAAATTACTCAATCTGAATGCTTTCAAATTGTCCATTTCCCCTGATTTTTCTGTTTTTGTGTCATTTCGAAATGTTTGTTGGAATAAGAGTGCACCCCTAATGGAATCACCAACAAAGTGATTCAAACTCTTGGTAGCGTGCAGTTACACTCTAGAGGCCCCATCATTCTTTGTAATTCTGCAAAGAAAGAAGAAAATAAGGATCGTGATTGAAGTATTCACCAATTCAAAAATTCGACCTTAAGAAAATTTTGTCGATTTTCTCTCCCTTTTTGCATGATCTGTGGGTAGATAATAATTGATTAACCCATTCTCCTCTTCTTAAACGTGTGGATGGCGGTTTCTATGTCCATTATCTGCAATGCACTTTGTTTACAATTAATCTCTATGTGTGGGTGTGTGGGTTTGCTTCATCTAACAGTTGAAAGGTAACTGAATAAGAGCACATCATGTGTTGCTTGAAGGTGAACAAATTGCCTATTGTGAAGACACAAATAACCAGTTAAGGAGACCCGAATTCCTTAAGGAATGACATTCATACCTGCTACCTTAATGCTCGTTAATCAAAGAAGAAAGAAATCAAAATCTGGAATAAAACAGAATGTATAAACTGCAAATTACAAACTAATGTTTGTAAGACTAAAACTGACAATGAATTGAGAAACTAAAATTGTAAAGGAAAATTAATAATAGAGAGAAAAAGAAATATCGGTGTAGCATATTCTCATAGAATTTGAATCAGTATGTGAACCTGTGTAATAAAATAAAAATATAAAAAGCAATGAAAGAAACAAATATATGAAGTCAATAGTTTTTTATATACTTGCTCGGGAAACGAAAGCATGTAAGAGAGAGCAAACCTGAAAGAAATCAGAAATGATTGTTTAGAGATCTTTGAGCGTGCGTGCGATTAGTAAAATTAGAATGAGGCATCAAATCTAATTATCTCTGAAGAGTAGTCTGCATAAAGAAAACACAAACATAAGGAGGGTCTTTTTGTGGCCTAGAAACTGAGTGAAAATAAACCCAGGAAACGCACCAAATATGATAAAAAAAAAACACTCAAAAAGCTAAATTGTTATAAGAAAATAACACATGAAAAATAAACCAAGAGAACCTCTGTTGGAGGATACAACGTACCAAAAGAAAAAACGAAGTTTGTGGTTGAGGCATGGGCTTAGGGTGCCGATGGGTGAATACTAAGTGTTGATGTGAAAAATGGTTGAAAATGAACACCCCAATCTCCTTTTCAGAACGTGGGTTGTACTTGAAGATGACAGTTTCCATCGTCAAATCATTGCAACTACCGTTTGTTTGGATAGTTGGATAGTGCTTATATAAAAAATCGGAGTGATGTTTTCATCGTCCATTTTTTTAATCTAAGGGGCCACATTCATTGATGAAATTTAGGATGAAGCTTTGAG